TGGGGAAGAGCTGCCTCCTCAGAGTAGAGTTGACTGTGATGACACGAATGCAGCACAGCCCGTGGGAGAAAAGCCTGAGGGACTTTCATTTGCTGATGGGGCACAGCTCAAAATGAGAAACAGCTATAAACATCCATTAATAATCGGAACATGGAATGTACAAAGTATGAATCTAGGAAATTAGAAATTGTCAAAAATGAAATAGAACACATAAACATCGATATCTTAAGCATTAGTGAGCTGAAATGGACTGGCACTGGTCATTTTGAATTGGACAACCACACGGTTTACTATGCCGGGAATGACAAATTGAAGAGGAATGGTGTTGCATTCATTGTCAAAAAGAACATATCCAGGTCAGTCATGAAGTACAGTGCTGTCTGCGATAGGATAATATCCATGTGCCTACAGAGTGTTAATGCATCAGACTGCAAAGCCATTTGAACTGCAAGGTCGGAGGTTCAAGCTCACCAGCCACAGCTCGTAAACCCTATACAGGGTTGCTAAGGTTTGGAATCAACTCGAAGGCACTTAACAACAACACAGGGAAGACCATTATAAATATTATTCAAATTTATGCACCAACCACTAAAGCCAGTGAGGATGAAATAAAACAATTCTACCAATTTCTTCAATCTGAAATTGATCAAACATGTAATCAAAATGTATTGATCATTACTGATGATTGGAATGCAAAGGTTGGGAGAAAAGAGAACGTATCAGTAGTTGGAAAAGATGGCCTTGGTGATAGAAACGATGCTGGAGATCACATGACAGAATTCTGCAAAATCAATGATTTGTTCATTTCAAATACCTTATTTAGACAGCTTAAGAGACAACTATTCACATGGACCTCACCAGATGGAATACATAGAAATCAAATTGATTACATCTGCAGAAAGAGACAATGGAAAAGCTCCATATCAATCAAAATAAGGATAGGGGCAGATTGTGAAACAATCAATTGCTCATCTGCAAACTCAAAGTGAAGCTGAAGAAAATGAAAGCAAGTCCATGAGAGCCAAAATATATATCACCTTGAATATATCCCACCTGAATTTAGAGATTATCTGAAGAACAGATTTGATACATTAAACACTAAAGATTGAAGACCAGAAGAGTTGTGGGATGACATCAAGAACATCATACATGAAGACAGCAAAAAGTCATTAAGAAGACAAGAAAGAAGAAAAAGGTCAAAACCAATGTCAGAAGAGACACTGAAACTTGTTCTCCAGCATAGAGATGCTAAAGCAAATGGAAGAAATGAGGAGGTAAAAGAGCTGAACAGAAAATTTCAAAGCTCAGCTCGAGAAGATAAAAGTCAAATATTATAACACAATGTGCAAAGATATAGAATCCGAAAACCAAAAAGGAAGAACATGCTCATCATTTTTCAAGCTGGAGGAACTGAAAGAAAAAATTCAAGCCTCAACTTTCATTATTGAAGGATTCTCTGGACAAATTATTGAATGATGCAGAAAGCATCAAGAGAAGATGGAAGGAATACACAGAGACACTATACCAAAAGGAAATGGTTCATGTTCAACCACTTCAAGAGCTAGCATATGACCAAGAGCCAATGATACTGAAGGAAAAAGTACAAGGTGCATTGAAGGAACTGGCAAAGAACAAGTCACCAGGAATTGATGGAATAAAAATTGAAATTTTTCAACAAAGTGAGACAACACAGGAGGCAATAACTCATCTATGTGAAGAAATTTGGAAGACAACTATCTGGCCACTGATTGGAAGAGATTCGTATTTGTGCCCATTACAAAGAGAGGTGACCCAATGGATTCTGGAAATCATCAGACAATCTCTTTGATATCCCATACAAGTAAAGATTTACTAAATGTAGTACAGAAACTGCTGCTAGCATACACTGACAGAGAACTTCCAGAGGTTCAAGCCGGATTCAGAAGAGGCTGTGAAACGAGGGATATAATTGCTGATGTCCAATGGATCTCGACTGAAAGCAGAGAATATCAGAAAGATGTCTACTTGTGCTTTACTGACTACACAAGGCTTTCAATTGTGTGGATGATGACAAGCTATGGACAATATTGTGAAGCATGAGTATTCTGGAATACTTAATTGTGCTCACGAGGAACCTGTACATGGATCAAAAGGCAGTTGTTTGAACAGAACATGGGAACACTGAATGTTTTAAAATTAAGAAAGGTATGCAACAAGGTTGTATTTTTTCATCATACTTATCCAACCTGTATGCTGAACAACTAATCCAAGATACTGTGTTATAGGAAGAAAACCGTGGTATCAGGATTGGAAAAAGACTCATTAACAACCTGCGATATGCAGATGATACATCCTTGCTTGCTGAAAGTGAAGAGGACTTAAAATATTTACTGATAAAGATCACAGAGCACAGTCTTTGGTATGGATTGCATCTCTATGTAAAGAAAAGAAAAATCCTCACCACTGGACCAATAAACAACATTTTTATCAACAGAGAAAAGACTGAAGTTGTCAAGGACTTCATTCTTCTTGGATCAACTATCACTCATGGAAGCAGTAGTCATGAAATCAAATAACGTATTGCACTAGGCAAATCTGCTGCACAAGACCTTTTTAAAGTGTTGAAGAGCAAAGATGTCAGCTTGAGGATTAAGGTGTACCTGATCCAAGCCTATTTTCAACAACCTCATATGCATGCGAAAGCTAGACATAGAAGAATTGATGCTTTTGAATTGTGGTGTTGGAGGAGAATATTGAAAGTGCCATGGGCTGCCAGAAGAACCAATAGATCTGTTTTGGATGAAGTGCAGCCAGAGTGCTCCTTGGAGGCCAAGATGGCCAAACTTCGTCTTTCATACTTCTGACATATTGTCAGGAGGGACCAGTCACTGGAGAAGGATATCATATTTGGTGGAGGATCAGAGAAAAAGAGGCAGACCCCCAACGAGTTGTATTGGCAGAGTGTCAGCATCAATGGACTCAAGCATGGCGACAGTAGTGCAGTTGGCCCAGGATCAGGCAGTGTTTCGTTCTGCTGTGCATAAGGTCGCTGTGAGTCGGTACCGACTCAATGGCACCTAACAACTAACAACAATAATAGTACATCAACAGGGAACTACCAGATTCAGAAGAGGATGCTAAATAAAGGATATCATTGCTGACATCAGATGGATCTTGACTGAAAGCCAAGAATACCAGAAAGATGTTTATTTGTGCTTTATTGACTATGCAAGATTGTATAGAGCATGAAAAGCTCTGGAAAACATTGCTAAGGATGGGTATTCCAGAACACTTAATTGTGCTCATGAGGAACTGTACATAGACCTAGAGGCAATCGTTCAAACCAAACAAGGAGACATTGAATGATTTAAAATCAGGAAAGATGTGAGCCAGGGTTGTATTCTCTCACCAAACATATCCAATCTATATGCTAAGCAAATAATTAGACAATCTGGGTTACTTGAAGAAGAACATGGCATCAGGATTGGAGGAAGACTCATTAACAACCTGCTATTGCAGATGATACAACCTTGCTTGCTGAAAGTGAAGAGTATTTAAAATGCTGGCTGATGAAAATTAAAGGCCATAGTCTTCTGTATGGACAGCACCTCAATGTAAAGACAAAAAAAATCCTCACCACTGGACAAATAAATAACAACATGATAAATAGAGAAAAGATTGAAATTGTCAAACTTCATTTTGCTTGGATCCCCAATCAATACTCATGGAAGCAATAGTCAAGAAATCAAATGAATCTGCTGCACAAAACCTCTTTACAGTGTTCAAGAACAAAGATATCAGCCATGGTATTTTCAGTAGCTCCATAAGCATGTGAAAGTTGAACAACGAATATGGAAGACATAGAAAAATGGAAACATTTGAGTTATGGTGTCGGAGAAGACTATATAAAAAATAGTATGATGGATTACCAAAAGAGCAAACAAATCTGTGTTGGAAGAAGTGTAGCCAGAATGTTCTTTAGAAACAAGGATGACGAGACTTCGTCTCTTGTACTTCAGACATGTTATCAGGAAGGACAAGTCCCTGGAGAAAGACATCATGCTTGATAACGTAGAGGTCAGGAAGACACTTCCTTCCCCTCACCCAATGAAATGGATTGATCCAGTGGCAACAGCAATGGACTGAAGCGTAACAATTGTTAGGATGGTGCAGGATCAGGTTGTGGTTCCTTCTGCTATGCATAAGGTTGCTGTGAGTCAGAACCAATGCAACAGCAGCTAACAACAATAACGTGATCTGAAATGTTTGTGGAGAAAATGACTTCCTGCTGACAAGGTTCAATTTTGGTATTCGACCAAGTCTGATTGGTTGAAAAGGGACAAGATTGCTTTTACCGGTAATCAGTATTTGTTTTTGATTAGCAGCATCAATATTCTTTATCATATCAGTTTCTGCAACTACAATTCATTTAGCAAATAGGAAAAGATGGAATTTCAGATTTGTCTCTCCCTAAAATAAATCAAACCAGATCTCCTTTACAACTGTCTTCAAGAAATGTATGCACTAAATTCTACATCAGACACCTGCTGGTCAGTTTCTTCCTTGGTCTCCATATCATCAGGTTGATACTGTTTTTGATTATTAACAGAAAAGATTTTACTCCTTTGGCTATATATTTCTGTTCCACTTCCAAGGAGAGACTATCACAATCCATCTGCATATTAACTGTCATCAATTAAATTATCCCAGTTGTTTTGATCCAGATAAGTAATTGCAATCCCTTTGTTTATAAATCTGTGTCTCAGATTAAATATTCATGGTGTCTATACAATGAACAAAAATTCACAAAGTATTCCATGTCTAATGAAAGTTTAATCATAATCTGATAGCAGGGGCTTACAGCAAGCTCAGAGTAGCAACTGTGTGGCGTGATCTCCTTGCTGGTCAAAAGTAGGGGTGGCACAATTCATTTGGGCATTCGTGCCAGCCCTTGTCCACAGTAAGAACGCTCTCTCTCTCATCCTAATAACTTCTTTCATTCAATTCTTCACAATATCTAAATGGATATGAAGGTCTTGGACCAGGAACAAAGCTCTCAAGAGCTGGATTTGGAAGAGATAACCAGGAAAATTTCATTTCTTGACAAGTGGAGGGAAATCTTTAGTTATCCCAGGTAAGACATTCTTGTTTCTCATTTCTCTGGAATCAGAGGGATTTCAGGTGTTTTAGTAACCGACTTTTATATTTGCTACATGAGAAGTCGTGATTATAGATTTACACTGAAAATGCTTCGAGGTATAACTACTTTGTAGAAAAAGACTTATCTAGAAAGGGTAGAGTTTGGGAGGAGGGGGGTTTGAGGGTGTGAGGTTTGAATAAAGTGAATAATTTGTTTGATGTTTTCGCTTTCATTTATAGCTTGGGAGCCAATAATACAACTCCTCAGGTAATTACTTTCTCAAAGTCAATGTGTTTTCCTCTTGTTGCTTCTTCAAACAATCACATTTAACTGCATAATCTGCTTTTTTTCCATGCACAGAATGTCACTCAAGCACTGGCTTTTAACGTGTGAAAACATGAAACTAGAAAGCCTGTTCAGAATCTTTCCTTGTACTGTCTTTAAAAAAAAAAAAAAAAGCCCTCTTTCCTACTTTTAAGAGCTAATTGTCATCATTAAGAGCACCATATGGTTATTATTTTAGAAAAAAAGTAATATGAGAATCTAGAGTTCCTACACTTGTGAAACACTAGATTTTGACATCCAAGTACTCCAGTGTCTCTGATGGGAGGTAGTTTGGAAAATAGTTATCATTCCTTTTCAGCTTCTGGGGGAGTGGGGGAAATGCTTCCCTTAACCATTTTCAAAGAGTAAGAGCAACATGACTGAATCCAATTTTTTAAAAAAGATTTTAAAATACGCTGAACAATGTAAGATGAAAGATGTTTGACTATACCCTGAAAAAGACTTTACTTAACCACTAAATAAACACAACAAAAACTATACAGAATGACTATCCTGGCATTCATAGGGTAACTATGAGTCAGGACTGACTCCATGGCCCTTAACAACAATAGCATCCTGGCATTCGCAAATGACATGATCAAATACTCAAATTATTAGTATTATAACACTAAAGCATCTACATTTCTAAGTAACCTGTGGTCAAAAACCTAACTCAAAGTCTAAATTAAAATCAGGGGGATAATGCTGCTACCTTAGCCTTGGGAGTAGTGAACAGAGATAGCTGTTATTTGGGGGACAGAATATTCAAAAGATAAAACAATCTCTGGGGGTGGGGAGTGGAAAGCCAAGTTATGCTTTACAGAAGGTAGGGGAAACCCGTTGCCACAAATGTAAAGATTTCTCATTTGATTTACAAAATATATCTTATCCCATCAGTAGTCTGTGATTTGGATGCTGTATTTCAGAGATAAGGAAACATCTCTACCTCCAGCAATCCAGAGAAATGAAGAAGACGTTTTCCTTCATGTTTCAGTTACTGACAGCAGTTTGTTTCATGACATTGAGACAGAGGTTAAGTAAATTGGAAGAAGAGTTGATAGTAAGTTATATTCAAATGCCATAAGAATCGGTCAAAAAAAGTAAAAATGTGTTTTACAAAGGTGGGATGCCTTTTCTTTAGGAAGAATATTATGATAGTCACTTATTGGGAAGAGGAGTCTGACAGAATTAAAAAGAGGTAACCTGACTTGGTTTATTAGCCAGTTAATAACATAATGAGAAATACTTTGTATAGCCTGCAAAAGATTCATTCATTGTTTATAAAATGTTGTCTTCTCAAAACAAGAGATCGTGACATTTACTTTCTTCTCTAAACATAATTTCAAGTCGAGGTCTTGGTAGCATTTTGTTTCAATAATTATATTTAACCTCTCTAAGTCACATAAAATTTATGAGAGACCTCCTTTGACACAGACACAGGGTTTTCCCCCGCTTTAATTGCTATTATTCACAATTTTCAGACATCATTAAAAGGGAAACAGCATTTTCTAAACACTGGTATTTCAGAAAAAGGAAAAAAAAAACATCATCTCTAGCTCTGTTTGCTTTTGGGGTAGGGGCAGCATTTGGCACAGAACCATGAAGACAACCATCTATCTGCTGATGAAACTGAAGATGGAACAGGAATACCTCAGCCCAAAGGACAAGGACATATGCCATCAAATAGCTTTTGTTCTATTCCCAAACCTTCTATCATCTCTTCAAAAGTGGGCGGCTTTCCCATCTCCCTAGCAATGGCCACGGTAAGTATAGCTTGTCAATTAAACATGAAACGAAACATAATCTTCCCAAAACAACAAGGCTAGGGAATCTTATCTGCTGTCATGTGAGAGTATTATTGGAGATAAGACTACAGACGGTTGTTATTGGTAAAAGGAGAATATAATTAAAATGACTTATTTATGGTATTTTTCAAGGACACTGGTGATGTTACAGTCTTTCCCTCCCAAACTGAGAATCTCTCTTTACTCACTTCCTCAATTTGACAGTTAAAATTGAGGGAGTGGGTGAGGAAAATGCAAATAATTCGCTATGCGAGTGCAAGGTAAGCTAGGACAGACCCTTTAAGAGGCAGATCATAGAACATTGCAAATGCAGAAAACAATGTGTGTAAGAAAGGGCCCAGCCTGTGTGTGAGAAGGAAGGAGCAAGCAAATGTCATATGCCACTGATAGAGATGGGGAGACTTGTGCCAGGCCTAGTCCTAGGACAAGGGACTGACTTCAAGAAGGAAATAATTTCTGGGGTGCCAGCTAACAGGCAGATTTGAAGAGAACCCGACAACTAAGGACCCAAGTGGATCTGAAATTGCTTGACTCCAGGGACCATTTGCTCCATTAAGATTTGACCAGGGTAGGGATGAAGGACTGTGACAGAAACCCAGCCAGGAACAAAACTCTGGGCTCCTCAATGGATCAATAGGACAATGTTGAAGACAGATGCCTTGGCAAATGTTCAAAGAACTAGCTGTCCTGCTCAAAAAAGGCATGCTTGGAAACTGAGGAAGTTGAGGCACGGTCAAGCTGAGGCAAAAGTAACAGCAAGGGTGAGAGAACCCAACAGCTGGATTTTAAATCATATTCAGACTCAGAGAAACTCAAGACAATTTGACCAAGTCTGCCCATCCATCTAAGGAGTTCTGATACTTGTAGTGTACAAGTCAGGCTGCTAACGTCAAGGTCAGCAGTTTGAAACTACCAGCCATTCCGTGGGAGAAAGATGAGGCTTTCTACTCCCATAAAGATTTTCAGTCTCAGAAACACTATGCAGGATCCCTATGAGTTGGAACTGACACCACAGCACACCACCACCACCTCACCCATCTAACCCCACTACCATTCTAGAACCTCAGGCAGAGAATTCTTATTGGGATCCTACAAGCAAGAGTTGGAAGAGAGCATTTCTTTTCTGAGAACATGCTAACATACAGTGGGACACATTTGCAGAAACAACTTACAACCACCCGTGGCATCTGAACAAAGACCCACATTTGCCCTGCAGTCAGAGCCACAGTGCACATAAAGTTTCATAATCTGTGTACTGTACACAAGGTCCTACTGAAAGGGATATATGGAAACTGAAATCCCTTCTGGGAAACCCACACAGACCCTTTATATAATGTCTCCATCTGGTTTTTGAACACAAAGGCCAGGTTGGCCCTAACTAAAGTAATTCCAACCTTCAACGTAACCTTCTCTTAAACTCTTCAGACAGGACATAATGAGATTTTTGTTGTTGTTGTTGTTAGGTACCATCGAGTCGGTTCTGACTCATAATTACCCTGTATAGGGTTTACAAGGCAGGGCTAGTGGGTTTGAACCCCTGACTTTGTGGTTACCTGACCAGTGCTTATCCTATAGTGCCATACCAGGACTCATAATATAGAGACTGATGTTGTTAGGTGCCACTGAGTCAGTTCTGACTCATAACAACCCTGCATACGGTTTCCAAGGAGCGCTGGTGGTTTTGAACTGCCATCCTTGTGAGAATGTTAGGAGTTCAGTGCTTAGCCTACAGCACCACACCTGGACTCCAATAAGAACAGTACCCAAGTTCTTTTCTTATTACATACATCCTAACAGGATTCACAGAGCAACTGTCTCCATTATTGTATTTGCAGTACAAGTGTACTGGGAGGCCTCATTTGCTCTTCCTCACTGTCAAAAATCTACCCGTCTCAATCAACCTCCCCTCTTTTGCTCAAATTCCAGATGTCACAGGAAGACAGGCAGCTGTCAGACATCTCAGAAGACCCTACACTTTGCTCATTGGCCGCAGAGCGCCTGGTTTGTGCCTTAACATGTGTCTTATACACCTAGTGAATCATTCTGCTATAAGCAGTCCAGGTGTGTAATGCAGAATCCTGTTAGGGTCCCCAGTCTTCGATGCACATGCTACCTACACTGTGGTTACAGGCAGACACTAGAGCAACTATCTTTATGTTACTTGATAAAATAATGTTTCTAGAGAAAAATCTTTAATTATGAATTACTGATCTCTGCAAGGAATATTAGTTTAAAAGGTATACATATCTGATAATACGCTACCTTTTATGCGAAAAAACTATGGTTCTATGTTGGAAATTGCCAGCATGTATGTAGAAATCGCAGAATGTTTTCTAAGACATAACAGTGGTTATCTGTTGGAGGATGGGCAAAGAGAGGCATGAATGGCAAACAGTCTTTTCACAGCATACCTTAAAAAAAAAAGCATTCACAGATACTTCCAAAGTCTTCCAATCCCTTTCACTATGGTGGAGAGAGGAGAGTCTGGGTCTAAATTCTCCTACTTATTTTCAAACACAAATGTGATGCAATTTAAGACCTCCCCAATGACTTTTCCAAGGTAATCCTCTCCCTTTGGAAAAGTCTAGGAGACAAAAGAATCAGACCACTGCAGTCTAAAATCGAGTTGATGGAGTGTTGAGTAATGAAGTCCCAGACGTAGAGATAATTGAATTTTTCTTTTTAGGAAAAAAAGAATTTGGATTTATTCCCATTATGTGGGCCAGATGATAGTGTGTCCTTTAAATAGCGGTACCATTAATTAAACACACCCTGGGATTTCAAGATGACAAGCCTTGGGGATTCTTAATATGTGTGTTCCAGGGAGGTAGTTTGGAAGCTTGACCAATTCTAATCGTCGTTTCAGCAGTAAAGCAGCCTGGCAAAGTATCAGGGCTACTGAATACTAATACTCATTTGAGAATGCCTTTTGTTGTCCTTAAGCTATTTGCTTTCCCCTTTTCTCTTTGGTATGGAATACAAAGCATTTCCTAACATTGGCACACACTCTCGCTTTACTGAAAATTTGTTTTGAAAGCTGGGGATGTGGGGGGGTGATAAAGCACCTAGGCACTTTCCTTTTCCTCCAATCTCCTGTTTCTCAACTTTCCCTGCCCTGCTCCTAACACTGCAACTTCTCCTTACCCCCAACCTCTCGTTTGGAAGCTGTTCAGTATAACGAACTGTGGTGTAGGCTACAGAAAAGGAGAGCATTTGTTCTGGGCCCTTCTGTCAGTTCCATCCAATTACCTTTATTTTCTCCAGTGGCAGCTCTCCATCCTCCTGCACTCCCAGAACCTTCTCTGGGACCCAGCCTGGATGCATCTCTACAATCTCTTCTCAGCAGCCAATATGCAAATGCTTGGTATATTTACATACCATCCAGCAGTATAATGTCAAAAAGGAAATTCTGGGAGACCAAAATATTTTGAAACCCAAAGAAATGAAGCACTAGTAGTGGTGTAATAGACATTGGGGCAAATTTTTGGGAGCAACAGGCATTGCCTGGTATCCCCAGCATAAGATCTGGCTCTGGCTCATCATGGATGGGCCTCAATAGGTCTTTGCTTAATTACCTGTGAACAGTCTCTGGAGAGGCATCTCAGTATGGGGTAGTGGATATCTTCTATTTGCCCCTCTAAATCTACTGTCTCTCATATTTCAGACATATTATCAGGAGCGGCCAGTCCCTGGAGAAGGACATTTTGCTTGCTAAAGTGTAGGGTCAGAACCTGGCAGTGTTTCATTCTGTTGTTCATAGGGTCACCATCTAGTTTGTTGTTCAACTAGATGGCACCTAACAACAACAATGATAAATCCACTGTCCATCCCTCCTTTGCTGATCTCTGCCCAGAAGGCTGACCCAGTGTGGAGCCCTAGAGGGCTATTGGAGGGAGGAAAGGGAGACGTTGGGGTTTCTTGGGGCTGGCTGCATAGATCTTACAGCTCCTCTCAAGCAGCTCTCTCCTCAGGACTGTCTCTCCTTGGAGTAACCAACCTCCCTTTGTCCCTTCCGGTCTAGGGATCCTAATGACCCCTCATTCTTGCTAGCCCCGGGACACTGCATTAGCCATGTGGTTTTCCTACATCTATCCCACATCTTTATAGATGGTTCTTGTATTTACCTTTTCTTTAATTATCCTGATTTGAGAAGACCATCTGTTTCCTTCTGGGACCCTCGCTGGCACAAGTTGAAAGGCATATATTTGAGTCCTGGCACTGCCACTTAATAGGTAAGTGACCTTGAGCATGCCATTTAGCTGCTCTGGGCTCCAGATCCTTAAACTGTCGAGTGAAAGGGTTGAATTAAAATTTTGATCCAACAAATAGCTATTGTGAGTACTATACTCAGGCACTACAGCAGATGTGGACAAATCAATGTGAGCATGTTAAAGCCAAGAGTTTACCAATCTATTAGATGGTCTAGTATAAAATGTTTTCTCTGGGCTCAGTAATTCTAAAATCTCTGATTCCATGATGGTCCAGTCATTTATAAGGCTAGGAAAGATTTAGAGGGGATGCTGCAAAGATGATTATTCTCCCTCTAGTTGGGTGGGGAAAGAGTTGAGGGACACTAGAGCAAGACAAGAGGTCACAGGTAACGCTGAGCAAGGAATAAGGGCAAGAAACATAAACCTAATAGGAAGAATGACTCAGGACCTCTGACTGTAGTGTGTGTGTGTGATGCTCTTCGTCCTCCTTATCATCATCATGACAAATGCAAACTTAATGCCATGAAAGAGATATTCCTTATAAATATTTGAAAGCTAATCAAGTTAAATAAGAAAAACTAAAACCACAGTTACTTCTGTTTAGTAATAATAGTCATTACAGTCATCATTAGAACCAGTTGCCATTTTTGTCTAGTTACAGTACAACCACAGTACATGCCATTAAATATATGTCAGGTTAATCTTGTTATAAATTATGTCTGCGACTTGATGTGAAAGTGAATGGCC